ATATATACAAGGGGAATTCGTCGTGCTTATCCCTCATAGTAGTAAACCATACCGAGGGCACCTCATTAACTGTTTTGAGCTTTAAGTTGGTTTTCAAGGGGACCTTTCCTGAGATGCACCAGTGTTGACAAATTCTCCAAGGAAGTACGACATACCGGGGAGGCGAGATCACACAGTTAGCACCTTCGTTATTACGCATATCGTTGGTTTGGTTTGGTTATAAAGTAGGAACATATTGAGAACTGATAATTCTCCTGTGTGCGACATAGCAGAAAATTGACTGCGTACCTAACGTGATCAGAGCAAACGAAAGACCAAGAATCCCATTGCGACAGTATCCACAAATCAGGGTTTTTGATTAGTTATTCTGAAGAGTATTCTTCTATGATATAATCTCTGTACTGTTTAATAATAGTAAAAAACACTAAAAAACAAGTGGAATTCTAACCTTGCTGTTACTCAGAACGTTGTGCCGGAGAGTCAAATTTTGCGTACCAAACACGCCGACTGTATAACATCTGACTGGCCACTCCATTTTTTGTACTTGGGCTACAGTCGCATCATTGGTGCATTGGTTATCTTGGAAAACATTCTGCTTCGCATAACTGAATACTGTCCACGATTGTGAAATCTGTCCAGATCCTTGAAAGTGCGCCACAAACGAGCAATCTTTGTTTCGAACAAATCGATTATCAACCAAAGTGAGTCTCTTCTCCATTCCATCTGTGCGTAACAAACCGGATCTAGTATTTGAGCCTTCTGAACGTACGGTGCAAAGATTATCTTGGAACACGTTTCGACTCATATCCACCTGAGTATGATAACCATCGATCACAACTTGAAATGGGTAATTATCTCGAAACAGATTGGACTCCAAGACTAGTTTGTGTAACCCGCTGGTGGGTGACGGCAAATCATAGCGACTTTGTAGATGGGGTAGCTGAAAAAGCAAACCGTATCTGTTGCGCAAGGGAGCGGCGTCCTCGTCGGTTCCGTTTGACAGTTCATTTTGCTCTACAACGCATCCGTCTACTCGATACGACCAGAGATTGTTCGAGAATGGCAGTTGTCCATGTTCGGATTGTAGAACAGTGCCACGATTGCGCCAGAATCGGCATTTTGTTAGGTTGTATCCGATGAAAGACAATCGTTCGACCGACTGTAGATGAGTCGGTTCAGTAAACAATAAATCCCAATCGTAAACGAATTTGGTCCACGAGCGAATGTGCACAGCAGAGCGGGCATTATGACTGAAACCGGGAGCACGCAGGGTGTGCATGCATTCGGGAGAAACCAAGTAATCTATCAAAGCATGAAATTTTATTTACTTGACATTCAGTAATCTTAAGCGATCAAATAAATAAAGTATTCTCTAATGGCTTTATTACGAACGAGGCATTGCCAGTTGTAACGTTCGTTTACTTCACTGGATTTGAAAAGTTCTCGTCCCGCTTACCTGAATGATACATTAACCAAACTATACAATTCAGCCGTATGTCGTATCAGCTGACGGTTTTCATGATCTACCGGGTTATTATAGTGTTCCAGTCGTACACCATCAAGATTTCCCTCGACCACCGAGTCTTCCATACGAAATTCTGGAATTAATGGGTACCGAGTATCCGGTTCAAATCCGAATAGCGCACGATGTGACAGAGATGCAGCGCTTGACCACTGACGTAAATCCGGAGCATGCTGGAAGTCTTTCGTCTGGGCAGCAAGTAGTAGACGACCGGAAGCAATACCTTGTACACGGAACTCCAGAGTCAATCGATTAGTCGAAGATATCAGTGGTAAACGCGTAAGATCACGTGGTATACGCCATGAGTACACACGTAGTGGATCTAAGTCAGCTAGAGCTGAATCATAGATGATGAGTTCCTCAATGGTGTCCGTCTGGTTTTGTTTCTGAGTGTAGCCAAAACTTGGACCCGAGAGTATTGACGAGGGTGTGACTCTCGGGCCTATGGTGGCTTTCGGGGACCCACTGCTTTGGGCGTTGCTTGTCGGTGCTGTGGTAACGGGATAGTCCAGCAAGTGTAGCACGATTTGATGCATTCGATGTCGGTCATCGGCAGCCAGTTCAGTCCGATAAATGACCTGAAAATAAGGTTTAGATAATGAAACCTCGAGTTTTACGCCTTTGTTCCACTGCTTATACAAAAAAAACATTGCTGAAATGTCATTGTTAATAAAATAAGTAATGGTTTGCATATTGCTCATCATGATCCCTATCCTC